CAATGTTTACTTATATTGTGTTATATCTCGTCTCACTATTTTAAATATGTACTACCTTTAATAAGTATTTAGTATGACGATAAATTTTCACTTCTGTACTTGTACTGTGAACAACAAATTTATTTATTTTCTAAAAAAATGTTTCCGTACTCCTAACAACAAAATTATTATATTTAAATTTACCTGTGTACGTTACTTTATTTAACGCCATTTTGTCCCAGGTTAAAGTTGTCTTATTGACATTGTTCTATATCTTTGTTATTAATATTGTATTAATATCGTGTCACAGATCAAACTTATTCGTTCAGTGTAATATGTTTACCTGTTTTTGTTTATATGTCTTTTTGATCGAGTTAAACCATTTCAATTGATATTTTATACTGTGTCTTTTTATGTTGTAATGTTACACTACTGTTTCAAGTTAGGGTGAAGGTTGGCGCCTGTTAAAACGTTTAAACCCGCTGCATTTGTATGCACCTGTCCTAAGTCAGGAGCCTGTTGTTCAGTGGTTGTCGTTTGTTGTTGTGGTTCATAAGTGTTTTTCGTTTCTCGTTTTTTATATAGATTAGACCGTTGTTTTTCCTATTTGAATTGTTTTACACTAGTCATTTTGGGGGCTTTTATAGCTTGCTGTTCGGTGTGAGCCAAGGCTCCGTGTTGAAGGCCGTACTTTGACCTATAATTGTTTACTTTTTACAAATTGTGACTTGGATGGAGAGTTGTCTCATTCGCACTCATACCACATCTTCTTATTTATATTAACTGTTAATACGTGTCATTTTCAGATATATTTTTGATGTTCTGTCACTCAATAACCCACATTTTAACAAGTACTACTGTGTATTTCTACATACATCCTAGTGACCTTGAGCATAGGGATACTAACGCAAGTAGAAGGTCTGTTTCATAGCTTAATCTTTCCTCGATATTGACTCAGATAGACAACTTCAAACTGGAATCTATGACAAACGTGATGATTTAAAATTTCCAATGCCAACTTATAATTTCTCAGTAGTAACACACAGTTTGTTCCATTTTTTGGCGTCAACATATCCCAATTAAAACATTACGCTCGTACATGTACAATATACGGAGTTTATAAACAGTGGTGTCCTCTTTACACAAACATTTCTTCAACAGAGTTATGAGGAAGAACGACTAAAATCGACACTACAAAGGTTTTTCAGTCACCACCACGAATAGGTTGAACGATACGATATGTCGTTGTCTCGAATCACTAGCGACATGCTTTTGCTGTCTTAGTCTGATGATACGAATAATAATAATACTAATACTAATAATAATAATGACTTTATTTCTAGTGGGTATCCCAAATAGCATCCACTAATCTACCTTTGGGCACTCACAAAAAACATACAGAAACAGTATTACAAAGATTACTAGCACCATTTTTGAACACATAATACAATTTCATGCTAAATAATTGAATGTAGAACAAGAAAACAAAAATATACACGATACACAACCACTCAACAGACATGAACGAGTTTTTCTTTTCTATGTTGGTTCGTTTAAATGTTTCGGAGGTTAGTGCGGTGTCCATTTTGCATAACTATTATACATTATAGTTTAGAGGCCAGTTGAAGCCCAGCTCCGGGTGCGGTATTTTCCCGCTGCGTTGACGATCCATTGATGGCATTGTTATGTGTTCTGCTCTTTAGTTCAGTTGTCACAGGTCGATATATTGTAATGATAGTGTTCTATTGCAGAAAAGTGTTTCCCTCTTGATGTCTTTGGTATTTTTTGTCGTTTGGTTGCTGTTTTATTGACGAATACCACCAATCTTCTTTTATTTATATCTAAATTATATCAAAATACTACTTATGAATTCAATAGAGTTACGCATTTGTTAGTTAATGCTGATATTTAGTCACCTAGAGCACAATAATTTGAACCTTGAATGAAAAAACGGCACATTTGATTGTTTTACGACACGTTAAGGATACCACTAGTTTTAATCTCACGACAAGTTGTACAACCGGAACCCGGAGAATACTCATATACATTCTGAAGAAACGATATTTTGTATATTGCTTGCAATACACGAGGTTGTCGAAACGAAATTTTCATATTGCTACATTTTCATGTCATCTTGATTTTCATAATAATTAGATACTGGTGTTTCAGTCCATCATAATGAATGTTTTTATTTTGTTGACGGATAATCTTTTCTGATATTTTTATATTTTGTCGTCTTTCTTGTAGACGTGACTGTACCACTGGGCGGAACAGTAAATCTTACTTGTAATATACGTGGGAATTTACTCTCATGGGAAAAAAAGAACAATATTGATAAATGGGAAGCACTCCAAGACAATAGAAGATATGAAGGCAGAACAGCAGCAAATCTAACCATAAAAAACGTTCGTGCAAATGATGGCGGAATTTATCGTTGTTATGCATATAATAAAGATGTATTCCAGGAATTTGGTTTCAATATAACAGTAACAGGTACATAACATATAATCTATGAGAAAAAAAAATCAGAAGAAACACCAAAAAAATCTTTCTTTAAGACAAATCAAGGCCTAAAATATGTTACAAACTTTTCTTTTTGTAATAACAAAGTGAGTATAAAAATGCATCGTTAAATATTCTTTAAACCCTTGTCCTCTTTAAATATACCAAATCTAACTAATGAGGAAAATGAAAGATTGATTTTTGTTTTCTTTAAAACCCGTGTCAAATAGTTCATGCATATTTAAAAAGCAAAAATAACTTTCGACTTGCCGTAAACAGAAACCAATGTCCGAATAAATATCGAATCCGACCATCTAGTTACGGCATGTTTTATTTCAACGGAACATGGTAAGTTATTATCCCTGTTTGGGCTGATAATCATGTGTTCTTGTAAAAGTTGTCTTCCTAACACGGTATTGGACATAGGTGAAAGGTGAGTAGTGATTTGCTATGTATATATACTGCTGTAAGGTGGTACAAGGGTCGGGGTTTGACTTCTTGTGTACTCGGCGTGTGTATGCGATATTTTGTCTTCCATTTCTAAGGCCGCTGTAATGTTGTTTTGGTTTAAACGGACCATATCTCATCAAGAACGTGTTGTGTTATGTTACAAGTATCACCTGTATTAGGTTACCAGAATTAGTTGTGACCATGTATTGCTATGCGAATCCAAAATAAATGTATAAACAAATGGACACAAATGAAAAATAGAGATGTACAACTCTTGATTTCAGATTTCTACCATTTCCAACCTTGAACGATCATTACCAACAATTGGTTCTTTTTTGTTCTTTTTGTTCATTAATAATTCAATGCCGATGATTTTAGATATCAATTTAAGTTCGATGACGGTGATATATCGGTCTATCTTAGTTGACTCCAGGAGTATCACTTTCGCGCTTATTTTTGAGTAAAACAGGGTTGCACCTGCACATGGCTCTGTTAGCATTAACGAAAGTTAGTTTGTTTTTTTAAACATCATAATGTGTGAATGAAATATTTGAAGGAGAAGAGCATCTAAATAACTTTACTGTCAGCTAGTTAGATAATCGTTTAAATGTGACTTCAAACTAAATTTTGCGTGCACAAATGTAGTGCCTTAAGCCTACCTTTCATATTTGTTTCTATGTTTTTATGTTGCAAGAATTTAAATCATATTTTCGGGATCGGTCATACTACATGACTCGTTATTCCCTTCTTCTTGTCTCCCTCTATCACTCTTTTATACTGTTTTTCTTTTTGCCGATTTGTAATTTAATGCGAACAAGCGTAGCATGAATATGCCTGTACTATGTCTTATGATTATGCATCTGTAAGTATCTCATTATCCACCCTGTATTTCGCTTTTCAAACGGTCATTTTGTATTTTGTCTGATGTTACTGTTTATAGAATCCCTGTACACACGAGTTCTCCCATACTGCTCCCACAATAATTGCCAACAATGCTTGAAAAAACTATCCTTTTGTAATATTATTTATCAGCAAACAATTCTAGAAGCTGGCCTTCATTTTTTCGATAATTAAGAGACATATAAAATGATGAAACATGTAAATACACTTATATTGTTAAGATTGCGTCTTAAATTTTGGTGTCAATGTAAGATCCCTTATCTCTTTGAAACTAGTTTGAAACCATGATAAAGCTTTTCTTTTCTTTTTACTATACTGAAAATTTACACAAATGAACTTTTGGTATACCACAAGATTATGCCTTCCTGTTCTGTTCATTTCGTTCTGTCAGCGTAAATGTGTTCCGCCCAACAGAAGTTCCCTCTTGAAACTTTGTTATAAACAATGCCATAATATCTGTTTCTTTTGGAACAAATATGCTATACACTTTTTTCCGTTAGGAACAACTACTGTAATATTTGTTCCAGTATAAATATTACGACGACATGAAATCCGATGCTTCGTGTAGAGATAGCGCCACGCTCTCTGCACGTTGAAAATTCTTGCAGCAACTCTTTCAGAGGCATGAGGATGACATTCTACCAGGCTCATTTTCTGTCAATATCCAATATTTCCAGTGCGATACTAAATGTACCGCCCATCAACCGGGTCGATCCCCTTTTGCAGGATGATTCAATACTGGTTGACAAAACCCTGTTTTCGGTGTGTTTATTAAATCTGTATTACAGAACTGAGGGCTTTCTATAGAACTAATTTTATTGTGACTTTTTTATTCGACTTGTCGAGATTACAAAGGAGGTTGTGATTGCTCAAAACCTAGTTTTAATCTACCACCTGTTTGTGTATTTTTAGTCCCCACTATTTAAACTTTTTTATTGTATTAATGTAATACTAATGTATTCTATATATCAATTAAGATGTGATCGATGTAGCAATTTCTAACATTTTTGAAGCAAGCGAGTTCAAAAATATGGAATTACTTTCTTAAGTTCAGTCATTCAAAAGGAAAAGCATAACTATCATTCAAAAGCAAAAACATAATTATCATTCAAATTCAAACTTACAGTTCAAATACATGGACATTGGAGTGAATGGAGTGCGTCGAATAAATGTCCAGTAACGTGTGGTGGTGGTCAACGGATACATGTATCAAACAGGGCTTGTGATAATCCCCCTCCATCAGACTATGCTGACTTAATATAAATACTATTCAACCAACTATCCGTTGCAAAACGGTCAAATAGCAATGTTCCATTTTGTAGACTTTCTTTACTACTATATACACAATACGAGAATGGAATAAGCTTAATTGAAATATTCGTAACATCGACTTTATATCTAAATTGAAGAAAGAATTGAAAAAAGATAGTCTACAGAATGAATGTTACAGTGTCATCTGTACGCTCCGAGATAACTGAATATAATTTTAACTTAATTGCAATGTTCCGCTTTATTCCTAAACTATGACCTTTGCAAAGCTAACAGTATACTAGATCTGTCCTCCTGTCAGTTTTTAAGTCAGATAGTCAGGATGTTTTTTTGTTTTTTATCGTTTGTCCAAAAGCCTATAAACACAGCCAAACCTCACTTCACACTTCAAGTTACAATCGGCGTCAATCACTTGTCTGAACATTTTTATGAAAAATCGCACTACATCTATTCATACCTTTTAATCATAGTATTGTTAATCACTTTTAGTTCCTACGTCTACATAAAATACTATTTCTTGATTCCAATGTTGAAAAACGATATTAATTGATAGAAGAATGATATCTTATGGTTTTGAGTCTTTTTTGTTGTTCGACAACACTGAGGATTGGTTGAAAAGGGTCAAGATACGGTCAATGTGGTGTTCATGACATGTTCTTCTGAACACGTAAGTTTTACTACCTCTAGCCTACATGTAGATGACATTTGTCAGGTTTTTTGTTGCAGTGTTCTGCATGTTTGAAGTTCATTCGATCGTCCATCTGTTTTTATTCGAGTGTCAACGGCGAGTGTTTTGTAGACGAAAATTACGTTTTACGTATTACACTATAAGCCTGTATATTTTTATTGACCTAATGATATAGTATTTCAATTACTTTAAAAATCATATTCAACAATAGTAATTTACCAAAAAAAACTTGTATGCGTCAGTTAAAAGTTGTAGATCAAAAACAATAATTAGCGTTGTCAGAAAATTTGAAAAAAAAAAACATATCAAAAAGGTTTAACCTTTCAGTTCCTGGAAATTGGGGAAGATGGGGTTCGTGGAATAGTTGTCCAGTAACATGTGGTGGTGGCCTCCGGATATCAAACAGGGATTGCAATAACCCTCCTCCATCCGGTGGTGGATCAACATGTAGTGGTAAATCTAACAGGACCAAACAATGTGCTACTGATGATTGCCCAGGTAAATGAAGTCACGCTACATATAATATGTTCTGAGTGTAATGCGACCTTGCGAAAATTCCCATGTTCATCCAACATCAGATTTGTTTAAAGTTGGTGTAACGTTACTATGCTGACTTAATAAAATTACTATTCAACCAGCTATCCGTTGCAAAACGGTCAAAATAGCAATGTTCAATTTTGTAGACTTTCTTTACTACTAGATACACAATACGAGAATGGAATAAGCTTGATTGAAATATTCGTAACATCGACTTCATATCTAAATTGAAGAAAGAATTGAAAAAAATATAGTCTACAGAATGAATGTTACAGTGTCATCTGTACGCTCCAAGACTGAATATAATTTTAACTCAATCAATTGCGATGTTCCGCTTTATTCCTAAACTATGACCTTTGCAAAGCTAACAGTATACTGGATCTGTCCTCCTGTCAGTTTTTAAGTCAGATAGTCAGGATGTCTCTTTTTTTTTCTTTTTCGTGTTGTCCAAAAGCCTATAAACACAGCAAAACCTCACTTCACACTTCTAATTACAATCGGCGTCAATCACTTGTCCTAACAGGAACATTTTTATCAAAAATCACACTATATATGTTCATACCTTTTAAGCATAGTATTGTTAATCACTTTTAGTTCCTACGTCCACATTAAAAGTTATTTCTCTTGATTTCAATGTTGAAAACAATGTTAATTGATAGAAGAAAGATATTTTATGGTTTTGAGTCTTTTTTGTTGTTCGACAACACTGACGATTCATTGAAAAGGGCCAAGATACGGTCAATATGGTAATTTTGCTGAATATTAGCTGTTCATGATATGTTCATCTGAACACGTAAGTTTTTCTACCTCTGGCCTACATGTAGATGACATTTGTCAGAATTTTCGTTGCAGTGTTCTGCATGTTTGAAGTTCATTCGATCATCCATCTGTTTTAATTCGAGTGTCAACGGATGTGTTTTGAAGACGAAAAGTACGTTTTACGTACTAAAGTATAAGCCTGTATATTTTTGTTGACCTAACGATAGAGTATTTCAATTACCTTAAAAATCATATTCAACAATAGTAATTTACCAAAAAAAACTTGTATGCGTTAGTTAAAAGTTGCAGATTAAAAACAATAATTAGCGTTGTCAGAAAATTAAAAATAAAAAACATATCAAAAAGATTTAAACTTTCAGTTCCTGGAAATTGGGGAAGATGGGGTGCGTGGAATAGTTGTCCAGTAACATGTGGTGGTGGCCTCCGGATATCAAACAGGGATTGCAATAACCCTCCTCCATCCGGTGGTGGATCAACATGTAGTGGTAAATCTAACAGGACCAAACAATGTGCTACTGATGATTGCCCAGGTAAATGAAGTCACGCTACATATAATATGTTCTGCGTGTAATGCGACCTTGCAAAAATTCTCATGTTCACCCAACATCAGATTTGTTTAAATTTGGTGTAACGTTACTATGCTGACATAATATAAATTACTATTCAACCAACTATCCGTTGCGAAACGGTCAAAATAGCAAAGGTCCATTTTGTAGACTTTCTTTACTACTAGATACACAATACGAAAATGGAATAAGCTTGATTGAAATATTCGTAACATCGACTTTATATCTAAGTTGAAGAAAGAATTGAAAAAAGATAGTCTACAGAATAAATGTTACAGTGTCATCTGTACGCTCAGAGATAACTGAATACTAGTATAATTTTAACTCAATTGCGATGTTCCGCTTTATTCCTAAACTATGACCTTTGCAAAGCTAACAGTATACTGGATCTGTCCTCCTGTCAGTTTTTAAGTCAGATAGTTAGGATGTTTTTTTTTTCTTCGTTTGTCCAAAAGCCTATAAACACAGCAAAACCTCACTTCACACTTCAAGTTACAATCGGCGTCAATCACTTGTCTGAACATTTTTATGAAAAATCGCACTACATCTATTCATACCTTTTAATCATAGTATTGTTAATCACTTTTAGTTCCTACGTCTACATAAAATACTATTTCTCTTGATTTCAATGTCGAAAAACAATATTAATTGATAGAAGAATGATATCTTATGGTTTTGAGTCTTTTTTGTTGTTCGACAACACTGACGATTCATTGAAAAGGGCCAAGATACGTCAATGTGGTAATTTTGCTGAATATTAGCTGTTCATGATATGTTCATCTGAACACGTAAGTTTTTCTACCTCTGGCCTACATGTAGATGACATTTGTCAGAATTTTCGTTGCAGTGTTCTGCATGTTTGAAGTTCATTCGATCATCCATCTGTTTTAATTCGAGTGACAAAGGATGTGTTTTGAAGACGAAAAGTACGTTTTACGTACTAAAGTATAAGCCTGTATATTTTTGTTGACCTAATGATAGAGTATTTAATTACTTTAAAAATCATATTCAACAATAGTAATTTACCAAAAAAAAACTTGTATGCGTTAGTTAAAAGTTGCAGATTAAAAACAATAATTAGCGTTGTCAGAAAATTAAAAATAAAAAACATATCAAAAAGATTTAAACTTTCAGTTCCTGGAAATTGGGGAAGATGGGGTGCGTGGAATAGTTGTCCAGTAACATGTGGTGGTGGCCTCCGGATATCAAACAGGGATTGCAATAACCCTCCTCCATCCGGTGGTGGATCAACATGTAGTGGTAAATCTAACAGGACCAAACAATGTGCTACTGATGATTGCCCAGGTAAATGAAGTCACGCTACATATAATATGTTCTGCGTGTAATGCGACCTTGCAAAAATTCTCATGTTCACCCAACATCAGATTTGTTTAAATTTGGTGTAACGTTACTATGCTGACATAATATAAATTACTATTCAACCAACTATCCGTTGCGAAACGGTCAAAATAGCAAAGGTCCATTTTGTAGACTTTCTTTACTACTAGATACACAATACGAAAATGGAATAAGCTTGAATGAAATATTCGTAACATCGACTTTATATCTAAATTGAAGAAAGAATTGAAAAAAGATAGTCTACAGAATAAATGTTACAGTGTCATCTGTACGCTCAGAGATAACTGAATACTAGTATAATTTTAACTCAATTGCGATGTTCCGCTTTATTCCTAAACTATGACCTTTGCAAAGCTAACAGTATACTGGATCTGTCCTCCTGTCAGTTTTTAAGTCAGATAGTCAGGATGTTTCTTTTTTTTTTTCTTCGTTTGTCCAAAAGCCTATAAACACAGCAAAACCTCACTTCACACTTCAAGTTACAATCGGCGTCAATCACTTGTCTGAACATTTTTATGAAAAATCGCACTACATCTATTCATACCTTTTAATCATAGTATTGTTAATCACTTTTAGTTCCTACGTCTACATAAAATACTATTTCTCTTGATTTCAATGTCGAAAAACAATATAAATTGATAGAAGAATGATATCTTATGGTTTTGAGTCTTTTTTGTTGTTCGACAACACTGACGATTCATTGAAAAGGGCCAAGATACGTCAATGTGGTAATTTTTCTGAATATTAGCTGTTCATGATATGTTCATCTGAACACGTAAGTTTTTCTACCTCTGGCCTACATGTAGATGACATTTGTCAGAATTTTCGTTGCAGTGTTCTGTATGTTTGAAGTTTATTCGATCATCCATCTGTTTTAATTCGAGTGACAAAGGATGTGTTTTGAAGACGAAAAGTACGTTTTACGTACTAAAGTATAAGCCTGTATATTTTTGTTGACCTAATGATAGAGTATTTCAATTACTTTAAAAATCATAAACAACAATAGTAGTTTACCAAAAAAACTTGTATGCGTTAGTTAAAAGTTGCAGATTAAAAACAAATAATTAGCGTTGTCAGATAATTAAAAAAAAAAACATATCAAAAAGATTTAAACTTTCAGTTCCTGGAAATTGGGGAAGATGGGGTGCGTGGAATAGTTGTTGAGTAACATGTGGTGGTGGCCTCCGGATATCAAACAGGGATTGCAATAACCCTCCTCCATCCGGTGGTGGATCAACATGTAGTGGTAAATCTAACAGGACCAAACAATGTGCTACTGATGATTGCCCAGGTAAATGAAGTCACGCTACATATAATATGTTCTGCGTGTAATGCGACCTTGCGAAAATTCTCATGTTCACCCAACATCAGATTTGTTTAAATTTGGTGTAACGTTACTATGCTGACATAATATAAATTACTATTCAACCAACTATCCGTTGCGAAACGGTCAAAATAGCAATGTTCCATTTTGTAGACTTTCTTTACTACTATATACACAATACGAGAATGGAATAAGCTTGATTGAAATATTCGTAACATCGACTTTATATCTAATTTGAAGAAAGAATTTAAAAAAGATAGTCTACAGAATAAATGTTACAGTGTCATCTGTACGCTCAGAGATAACTGAATATAATTTTAACTCAATTGTGATGTTCCGCTTTATTCCTTAACTATGACCTTTGCAAACCTAAATGTATACTGCATCTGCCTTCCTGTCAGTTTTTAAGTCAGATACTTGTAGTCAGGATGTTTCTTTTTTTTTCGTTTGTCCAAAAGCCTATAAACACAGCAAAACCTCACTTTACACTTCAAGTTACAATCGGCGTCAATCACTTGTCTGAACATTTTTATGAAAAATCGCACTACATCTATTCATACCTTTTAATCATAGTATTGTTAATCACTTTTAGTTCCTACGTCTACATAAAATACTATTTCTCTTGATTTTAATGTTGAAAAACAATATTAATTGATAGAAGAATGATATCGTATGGTTTTGAGTCTTTTTTGTTGTTCGACAACACTGAGGATTGGTTGAAAAGGGTCAAAATACGGTCAATGTGGTGTTCATGACATGTTCTGCTGAACACGTAAGTTTTTCTACCTCTAAAATTGAGAATGGAAATGGGGAATGTGTCAAAGAGACAACAACCCGACCATAGAGCAGACAACAGCCGAAGGCCACCAATGGGTCTTCCATGCAGCGAGAAACTCCCGCACCCGGAGGCGTCCTTCAGCTGGCCCCTAAACAAATATGTATACTAGTTCAGTGATAAAGGACGTCATACTTAACTCCAAATTATATACAAGAAACTAAAATTTTAAATGATACAAGACTAACAAAGGCCAGAGGCTCCTGACTTGGGACAGGCGCAAAAATGCGGCGGGGTTAAACATGTTTTTTGAGATCCCAACCATCCCCCTATACCTCTAGCCAATGTAGAAAAAACAAGCGCACAACAGTACGCACAGTAAAACTCAGTTTAAGAGAAGTCCGAGTCCGATGTCAGAATAGGAAACAAAAGAAAAATAAACAGAATGACAATAATACATAAATAACAACAGACTACTAGCAGTTACTGACATGCACGCTCCAGACCTTAATTAAACTGATTGAAAGATTATGTCTTCATCATATGAATATCAGGCACAATCCCTCCTGTTAGGGGTTTAGTATTATACCATCATAAATTATATGAGAAGAACATTATCCGTGTCATGCCAACAACTGGTTTTAGAATAGATATGTTTAATTCCGATGCAAAGACCCTATAAGTGAATCAATATTAAAGCCAAAATATGCAATCTTTAATTACCTGACAACAGTATTGTAACTATATCCCTTCTTAATAAGTCTGTTTAAAGGTTTTGTTAGCTTTTGAGGTGAATACTGACATTTTTGTGCTTTGTAAAGAATATTTCCATAAAAGATTGGATGTGAAATACCCGAACGTATAAGATGTCTGAATGTCTAGCCTACGTGTAGATGACATTTGTCAGGTTTTTTGTTGCAGTGTTCTGCATGTTTGAAGTTCATTCGATCGTCCATCTGTTTTTATTCGAGTGTCAACGGCGAGTGTTTTGTAGACGAAAAGTACGTTTTACGTATTACACTATAAGCCTGTATATTTTTATTGACCTAATGATATAGTATTTCAATTACTTTAAAAATCATATTCAACAATTGTAATTTACCAAAAGAAACTTGTATGCGTCAGTTAAAAGTTGCAGATCAAAAACATTAATAAGCGTTGTCAGAAAATTAAAAACAAAAAAACATATCAAAAAGATTTAGACTTTCAGTTCCTGGAAATTTTGACAATTTGGCAAACTATAATAATGTCATGTCGGAGCCTTTTTAAACTTGCTATACGGTATGGCGTTTGTTCATTATTGAAAATGACATAGTTGCTTTTATCCAGGTCATTTAGTCTCTAGTGGATAATTATCTCGTTTTTGCAATCATACCACATCTCCTTATTTTTATATTACTAAGTAGGGTGGATATATAATACTGTACCAGAGTATGTTTACTAATTTTCTATTGGACAGTTTCCTGGTGACTCATAAGATAGTCTGCTTAACTTCACTGAAATTACCAAGTTGTGCAGTATAGTAGGAATTTATCTATAGAACATAAAACATTTTCGTCCTAAATATGTATGGAATATTTACTGCTGGACGTAAGTCGTTAATTTTTGTCATCTTAAATTTCTTCCCAATCAAAAGTTAACATTTTTCATGTCAATTGATATTTTATAGTGTGTCATTCTATGTTGAGATGTTACACTATTGTTTCAGATAAATGTGAAGGTTTGGTACCATTAAAACGTTTAAACCCGCTGCAATTGTTTGCACCTGTCCTAAGTCAGGAATCTGATGTTCAGTAGTTGTCGTTTGTTGTTGTGGTTCATAAATGTTTCTCGTTTCTCGTTTTTTATATAGATTAGACCGTTGGTTTTCCCGTCTAAATGGTTTTACACTAGTAATTTTTGGGGCCCTTTATAGCTTGCTGTTCGGTGTGAACCAAGGCTTCGTGTTGAAGACCGTACTGTGACCTATAATGGTTTACTTTAATAAATTTTGACTTGGAATGAGAGTTGTCTCATTGGCACTCATACCACATCTTATATCTATAGCCGGCGCCCTAATTGTATTGATTATACGAGTATCCCCCTTTTATCTCTGATTCTAATAGTATTGATCTGGTAATCGATCTGTTTTCTCTACAAGGCTAGTGTTCTTATCAGTAGTAATCTCCCTTATTAATGCGGTGTAGTAGTATAATATTTATTTTTTTAGCATTTTGCTTTAAATATGTTTTGCTAAATATGTACAAGTTATACATATGATAGAGACGTAAATTTCATATCTTTAAATTTTGATTTGATGTATATCTGATAAGTTCTGCAATTGTTTTACCTCCGATATGTACAAGATATACATATGATAGAGACGTCAATTTCATATTTTTAAATTTTGATTTGGTGTATATCTGATAAGTTCTGCAATTGTTTTACGTTCTCAATTATCTTCCTATAATTCTCGATTTTAGAATGGACCACATGGATATCGTGGATCTCTTGCTCTGTTAACTGTGGATACGGGACGAGATCACGTAGACGTTATTGCCAGAAGGGCAATCTTCGTAGGTGGTTTTATAGCACACAGTGTGATGGTTTATCATATGAAACTGACAAATGTTCATTCAACCCATGTAAAGGTAAATATTAAAAGATCTTTGCTTTTAAATTCGTTATCACTGATGAACTCCCAACAGGGAAATTAATCTTGAAATAAAAAAAAAGAAGATTTAAACGATTGGTATTTTATGACAACAACATGATCTTAAAAGGATTTATTTATTTAACTTGGTTAAACGTCTCTCTTGGAACTCTATAGAATTACTAAGATATTATATCAAGAAATTTCTGAATTGAGTCATGCATACACAGAAACGAACATCTAACATTAACAATTTGACAAAAGACAAATCTTTGATATTTGCTTACAAGTATGTGTGCAAATGAAATTGTTATGTTGCTATACAATCTCAAAACATATAACGCACTAATACATGTTGAATGTAAATTTCTTTTAAGTAAAAAGACAAACATAGTTTCAGTCCATATAAAGTGCCAACTGATTTTAAAGGGATGACGATTATTATACTGAATAATGGAAATATGTTTGCTGGGTATATTTCAGCAAAAGTACATGTAAAGATGAAAGTAACTTAAAGCAAAATGTAAAAACCCTGATTCTAAAGGGAATTAGTTTTAGATGCGTGGAATGGATATTTACAGTAAATATAATGTCACATCGAAATTTGATGTTTCCAAAATAATAATTTCAAGAATAGTGTATATAATTACTAGGTACTTTTCTATTAAAAAAATAAAAAAGAGAAAGAAGTTACCAAGGGGGCATTCAAAGAAACTGACATAAGGACAAACAAAAAACAAAATAATATTACAGAGCAAACCAAATACTGAGCAATACGAACCACACAGAAGACCAGTGCCTTAGTCAGGTACTCCGGAAGGGTAAACTCTTTAAGCTCCCGTCGTGTTGTTCAAGCAAGTAAAAATCCTATGATAAATTGCTTTTGGTAATGTCAAGACATACTCGAAAAAAAGAAGACGGAATCGTGGTTATGACAAGTGTAACATATCCGTAGTCATATGTGACAAAGATATTCCATGATTTAACATGGATTTGGCTATTCTTTTAGGTCACTTTTGGTCCTAATGAATTATCATGTACTCAAATATTTCTACATATGCTTGGCTTTCACTTTTCTGGGTTTCTTTGATTTTGATAAAGATTTATCCAGAAAAGCGCTTCGGACGCACCAAAATTAAACGTTCTTTCATTAACCAAAATGAATTAAGACTTATGATTTCCTCCCCCTGTTTTTGTTTCTGTCAAGTATCAAAAATAACAAAGATGTTTAAATTTATTATATTCTGAATAGAATAAACGTAAAAGATTATAAAATTTTATATCAATGTATACACGATTGCTACAATGTACACCGTAGCGAAATATTCCCCGCTGTTGTATAAATGAGGAATTAAATTGTGTGTCACAATGTGTCATTTAGATACGATGGTCAAAATATGGTAAAATTCCAATAACTCCCGTTGAAATAGTTAAATCACAATGACGGTATATATAATATATTTTCACAATACTTGATGGCAAATAAACCTACCAAGTCGAAAAATTTCTGCCACATAGTTTTAAAGGAGTTACATTCACAAAATGTCACATTCGTGCAGAAGAAAATA